ATATATACACACACACATACACACACACACAGAGACACACACACGTACACACACTCTTGTTTGATTTGTTTTTATGCAAATATATTTAGAACTATGACCTGCTCAGTGGATGTGGCCACATTTGTTTATGCTTTAAAGCTCAGAAAAATCACTTGTAGTTAGATAAAAATCAAGATTTCAAGACCATATTTTCAGTGAGGCATTTGTCTGTGTTCAGTGAGCTCACTGCAGTTGGGTACCTAGACTAAGAGCAATTTATGTTATGTGGAGCTAAAATGAAAAATCAAACTTTTTTTAATTTAAAAATTATAATCTTTGTTCAAAAGATGATGTAATGCAAGTAAACAGAAAGCAGAATAAATACAAAATCATACCTTTGAGGGTAATATTTTTATTATAAATGTTATCAGGCTAGCAGAGAGGGTACTCATTATTATAATTTCAATGCAGTTTTGTGATTCTGTGTTTATGTCATGTAAAACAAGCTGTAAAGAGAAACCATTATCAGTGCCGATGATGGTGCCTGAAGGAGATCCCTGTGAAGCCAGAGACTACAAGAAATACTAGGTTTAATGCATGCAAGTGAGATTTTATGCACTTTAGTCAGGAAATTCACAGTTAGGGTTCCCCTAGCAGCCGTAACTCAGCTCTGTTGTGTGAGAAACTTCTGCTGCTGCTCTTTATGATGATGATTTTTCTACTTTTAATGTGTTTTTGCAAGGTGGCCAAGTTATGACTGCTGTGGGAACCATAATGTTAAATTCTGTCTGTCACGCAAGTGAAATTTTCCTCGCAAGATTGGATTATTCTACTTCCTGATATGTTATATTTGGGGGGAGGAGGAGAATTACTGCACAAAAGCATATTTATATTTATTTCAGCGTATCAATATCTTTAAGATTTATGATCTTCAGTGGTTCCTTTTTTTGTTTGTATAATGCTTCACACAATGCAGCTCTCATCTGAGAAATTTGGATGTTACCACATTGCACATAATGACTTTTTCGCATGAGGATCATATTCCACCTTGTGCGCATTTCTGTGGACTGAGGTTATTCTTAGCATAAACCTTTGTATCAGAATGGGCTGAGATTGCCCTGTGTTAGACCAAAAGAGTTGCCCAGGCACGTAGGTCCTCTTCAGCTAAAGTGATGATCATAGGCTCTTCTAGCAGTCAAAATAGCATCAGAGGTATATTGACTGATGAATCCCTTCTGTGTGTCCAGACAGTCTAGACAAGCCGTGCCACCATAGCCTCAAGTTTTCAGATGAGTCACTTGGGAAGAAATGTTTGAATTCCTCTCCAGTGCTGGGCACTAGATAAAAATCCTATGGATCTTCCAGTTACTGCAGAAAGTGGGGGGGAAAGTACATGTCCTGCATCTGTTTTCCTCTTTTGTTGTGGTTTAACCCAGCAAGCAGCCAAACACCACACAGCCCTTCACTCAACTTCCCCCTGCAGTGGGAGCCATCATCTTCCGTAGCAGAGAGGCTTTCCCTGCTTGGCTTGCTTGATTGTAGTGCATGTTTCTCTCAAGGATAACCTATGCATTAGTGTCCATGGTCAAGTCCACACCATGATCACAATGCCTTATGCTTTCTGGTAGACCATTATACAGTGGAATCTGTTCAGCATGTACCACCTCCTGCTATGTCAGTATTCGACAGCCTACTGTGGCCAGTCCAGTGCCCCCTTCCCTAAAAAGTGATCCTATCTTCTTGGCTTCCCCATCCCTTTAATTCCAGGCTACTAGCCCTGTTATCCCAGCATTGGAGCACCCAGGTAACAATGTGCTGGATGGCAGCTAGAATATTTTTTCATGGCTCGCTCGGGGATAGGGATCGGGTGGTTACCACCTCATTTATGAGTTCTGTCTCTTGTCCTCCTGTTCTCATGATGGCTCTGCTTCTGTGTAGTCTGCCTTTTGAAGGTACTGAATAGTATTGAGCAGGGCTCTGTAGGCATGTGCTAGACCCCAGCACGTTGCAGTGATTAGTGTCTCTAGAATTGCCAGGGTGACAGTATACTTTTTCCATATATTTTATTAGTCTTTCAGGGTTCTGCACTTGTTCTGAGGTGAAGTTCCAAAACATTGGAGGTGCCTACCGGCCTAGGTACTTGCCTGTACTATCCTATCTCTCACAGCTATTCAGCCTTGGGGTAGATCTCTGGGTGGTATTCTTAAATAGTTGCTTAAGTTTAAACAAGATCTGAAATGCATTAGGAGTAGGAGACACATCAACAGGAATGTGCCAGTTTGAACATCCCAAGGATATTCAGAATTCTCAAGGGGCTATTGTAACTAGCCTGGATCCTTAAATTATTGTTGTCTAATTAATGGTATTTTTTTGTTTTATAGTACCCGTGTGGAGAAATGGATTTAGACTCTTCCACATCATCTCAGATTTTTGATGATCACATGGTAAGGCCTTTCATTTTAATGCATTTTGAAATTTGATCAGAAGCACAACTTTAGGTTTAAGTTCTTTACTTCTTACAAATTTAAAAACGTAGCAGGTGAAGAAGCTTTCTATAGATGCCCCCAATGTGGTGTTTGTTGAGGTTTTTGTTTAATGGTGGTTTTGTGTTTTTGTTGGTGTGGGGTTTTTTTTCTTTTCTTTTTTTAGTATTGCAAAGCAGTTGCTAATGTCTTAAATAGACCCAAACGTTCTGGATCTTTCGATGTATTATATAATTTCTGTGTTGTGCTGATAACTGACGAAAACATCAGGATAAATACTTAACTATCAGCCCAGGAACAAAATGGATTAAAATAAAGACACAAATACCTGAACGTGGCTGGAAGGTTTGACAGACGACAAGAACAGTTTCAGGGCAGTGTGAAAAGGCATTGGCAATTTTGACACACTTCACACATGTAAAGCATATTTACCTGGTCCAGATGAACTTCTCTACCTTTGCCCTCTGATAACCTATCAAGTGCTGTTCAGAGGCTGTTTTCACTGGATGTTCTAGCTGAATGAATGATGAGGTGTGAAACCCTGGCAGCATCTCTCATGAACAAGAAACCTTCTGAGTTTTCTACTGTAAAACTTCACAACCAACATTGCCCACTGCTGTGTTTCTCTCCTTTAAACTGTATAAAGAAATGTTGTCCTCCCAGTAGCTCTGTGAAACGCGTACTTCCTCATGAGGTCATTAATGAGTATGAATGAACTTGATGATCCTTATGGGTCCTTTCCAACTTGAGGCAGTCTATGAAGGCACAAGAAACACCTAGGAAAAAAATAATAGTGCAGAAAGTTGGTAGAATTTGGAAGACTTGTGCATAGAATCATAGAATGGTTAGCATGCGTTTATGATTGTTAATATTACTACTCACTTTCAGGTAAAACCCCTCTTGGGTTACCCCTTGCTTTGTTAAATGTACCTGATGCTCATAAATAGCTATTTGTTAAACAAAGTCTGGGAAAGAAATAGCTTTTCTTCCACCTTTCTGTAAAAATTGCTCTAAGGAAAGACAAGAATTTTGTCTCTGCAAAACCTGCTTCATTCATGGTCCACTTCAGGAGGTGCACAGCAGTGACTGATTTCTGTGTTCCTCTTAGGCTCTAGAGGAAGCAAATGATTGCTTGAGTGACCTGCCCAACCCCTTTGCCTACCTGTTGACCATCCACCTGAAGGAAGGCCGGAACCTGGTTATCAGAGATCGCTGTGGTGAGCCCCACCTTTCAGCTCATTTCCTCTGAAATTCACATGGCTCTCTTTGCTGACTTCAGTTTGGCAGCAGTTGGCTTCTTTTCTTATGTCTGATGCAACAAGTCATTGATTTATATCCCTTGTCCAGGTCAGAACACTCAACAATTGGGTTTATCCACCTTGGGTACACAGGGGAGGGAGCTGCTCCTCCTGCCTGCTGTGCAGCTGCAAAGCACCTTCTTGGCTGGATTTGGCATCTGTACCTATTCAGGAATTGCAGAGTCATTAACTTTGAGAAATTCTGAGCTTAAAGAAAGCCCCAAAACCAGAAAAAAAAAAAAGGCCAAAGAGTATGTTGAAATCTATTAAATGAGGGAGCTGCACTAAGAGTGCTTTTGCAAGGAGTTATCTGCAAAGATTTTATTAAAAGGGACACAATAGGAGCAGGACTGTAATACAACAGTTCCCTCTAATCTGGGATGCAATTTAAAGATGACTGCATGCAAAAACCCCAATCTCAAAACCCACCCCCAAATGACATGACAAATAAATAGGAAAATATTTGGGGAATTCCTGGATAAACTGTGGGGAAGTTCCTGATGCTGTTAACCTGGCTCCTCTTCAGGCTGTTGCAACAGGGAGTAAAAGTCCTTATGAGCAGCCAGTTGATAGTTTCTCCACTTGCTGCGGAGGGAAAAGCTGTCCTGCCAGAGGCTCTGTGGCTGCTTCAGAACCTTCAATCTGAACCTGTCAGAACTGTTCCATATGTCCAGTCTCTCCGCATTTTACATGTATTCCTTATTTCCTATTTTTTCTGCATGTGGAAACAGTTCTGTTGATTTTGCATTGCAAAATGTATGAGCAGTTTGTTTCTTTTGAGATGAAGAAATAAGGTTTATCCATACGGTTTTAAAGCAAATAAGCTTGCACAGCCTAAAGGCATGTGAAGGTTTGCATCTGGAAGAATCCATCTGGATTTATAAAACTTCTTACTTGTGGTGCTTGTTGAGATTTCTATTATCTTTTATCTCTGTTAACTTTTTCCATGCTGGCTCTTCATGTCTTCATGAAACAGTAACTCTTGGCCAAGCGTATGCTTGTTTTTCCTCCCAGCTTTTGGAAGGAGTGAATGAGTACTGTCCTGGTTTTTTGTCTGGAATAGCTAATTTTTTTCCTAGTAGCTGGTATAGTGCTGTGTTTTGGATTTAGTATGAGAAGACGTTTTTGTTGTTCCTCAGTGCTGCTTACCCTGAATCAAGGACTTTGCAGATTTTCATGCTTTGCCAGTGAGGAGGTGCACAAAAAGATGGGAGGGAGCAGAGCCAGGACAGCTGACCCCAATTAGCCAAAGGGGTATTCCATACCACAAAACGTCATGCTCGGTGTATAAATTGGGGGGACTTGATCCAGAATGTCTGATTGCTGCTTAGGGAGGATCGGTCAATGAGTGGTGAGCAATTTTGTGCATCACTTGGTTTTGTTTTTTCCCTTGGGTTTTATTTCTCTGTCTTTCCTTTTTTCATCATCATCATTATTACTATTATTATTATCATCAAATTATTAAGCTATTCCTATCTGTACCCGTAAGTTTTACCTTTACTCCTATTTCTCCCCATCCCAATGTGGGCAGGGGAGTGAGCAAGCTGTTGCATGGTGTTTAGCTGTCAGGCTGGATTTAAACCATGACAAGTACTTGGATTAAGATCTTTACTCGTTAAACAGAAGCATGTATTTCCTAACAGTGTAGCAGTTCACCAAATTTACTAGGAAGGCAGCACAAGCCAGGGCACATCTGGCTGTTTCTATGGAAAAGATGCTAGAAGTGAGCAATTCCAGCAGAGTAATATTTCTAAAGGAGACAAATCATAGTTTGCTCTGGGCTGTGTTTTGTTGTGTAAGAAAGCAAATGCTTGTCTTAGTGAAGCACTGAACAACATAGTGAAACGATGTAAGCAAGGCTAAAAAGAAACCATTTTGATGTTGCTCTGTGCTTTGTGGCAAATGACGACTCATTTAGCAAACTAAGTATGTGAGGTGATGCACCATTCAGTAAAATTCCTGCTTGTTTTCCCCCACAGGCACTGGGAGGAGGAAAATACTGATTTAATGATTATTCTTCAGTCGGCATTATGTTGCAGTGGTGGCTCCTGAAAGCATGCTGCTGATGCATGTCTTTATAGGTGTCTACTGTCATACTGCTTACTTAGGATCTTTGCGTGATGCTCAGGCTTGCAACCACTGTGCATCTTGCAATGTGCTTTTGAAAGTAGGAAGTTGTCAGCTTTGCTCATCTCTCCTGTGTGAGAAAACCTCAGAGTAAACTTGTGGGCTGGGAGAATGCAACTTCCCTCTTCTCCCCCCACCACAATGCTCGATACAGCCGCTGCACTGGGGTGTACCAGCCTACTCTAAATAGCCTGAATATAGGAACATGTCCTGCAAGTTAGACTGTGGCTTGGGCTGAAGGCCAAGTCATCTTCCTTTACATTTTGGGAACAGCAAACCCCTAGAGCTAACCAAGCAGTGCTGCCTGGCACAGCTGGGAGAGGGTTTCAGTCCCTCTTCCCATGGTTTTGTGTGTGCAAAGAGGCACAGGAGCTCTCTAGTGGATAACGCTGAGTGGCTGGTCCTGTGTTTTATGTGTGTATTGGAGTTTGAAGCCTTGTGTGTGCAAGTGCAAAAATTATCTGGTTAGGTAGCAGTGGTGTCAGTGCTGGAGTTCATAAGTAGGAGTAGCAATGTCCCGCTTTTAGTCGAATAAAGTGGTCATATGTGGTGGTAACCACTTGGCTGGAAACTCCAGGTACTGTGTAGAGTATGCTGTATGTTAAATAACAAAATCTTCACACGAAGACCACAGACTGAAAGCAGAGTGCATCCCAGCAATCTTAGCTGGATGCTGACCTAATCTTTAGGTTAATCAGGATTAACGTAAGTTTTGTAAATGTCCTAAACTTTAATGTTCAGTTATTATGCTATCAGCAATTGCTGTGTGGGGAAAAAGTCTCAAAGCAGTCATCAATCAGTTTAGGTCTTTTTTTTGGGGTAAGTCATGTATCTACTTAAACATAAAGGAAATGGCACCGAAGTGCAGTGCCCTGTCCTTCTCCCCTGCGTTTTATTTCAAGGTACCGCATCTCGCATCGCCCAAGCCCAACACGGGTGGCTGATGCCCTCTCGTGGCGGTTCCCCGCCGAGCCCGCAGCGCGGCGCGGTGAGCAGCTTTTCCCGGTCCCCCCTGGCTGCCAGCCTCGTCTGCGGCCCTGAACGGCTCAGCTCCAGAGCTGGGCGGGGAGGCAGCAGCTTTAGTTGCTTTTAGTTGCTTACCAGGTTGGACGGGGCTTGAAGCAACGTGGTCTAGTGGAAGGTGTCCCTGCCCGTGGCAGGGGGTTGGAACTGGATGAGCTTTAAGGTCCCTTCCAACCCAAAGTAGTCTGTGATATGATGCTATAATATGATAAGTACTTGAAATTCGAGCAAAGTAAAGTCTCTTGGTCTGGTGTTCGGTCTTTGTCTCTGCATCTGTTTTGTCACAGGGTAAGAAGTATACACCCATGTATGTATATAAAAATAAATGTAAGGTGCGTGACGAAGGAGAAATATTTCTGCCATTGGAAACAGCCATTGCCGGAAAACTGGCTCTGCTCTGCAACTTCACAAGGCTCTCCCTGAATTCGCTCATTATATGCTTAATAGTTGTTAAGTGGGATTTAATTGCACTTGGCTGAACAAAGGTGGCCAGTAGTTCTGCTGCTAACTGCAGGCTATAAGACCAACATGTGAGCTTTTCCTAACCTTCCAGATATTTTTCCAGACTTTTGACTCACTTTGTACTGCTCTTTCCAGCATATGTTCCCATTGGTGTGATTTAAATTCCTCCTTCGCTTTACCAGATTTTTGCTACTCTTTTTCACCATTCATAATATTATCCCTGTTAACATCTGCTCTTTCCTAGTTTTCTTTTCACTGAAGGTTATGGATCTGTGTGTTTATATACACAATAGCAAAAGTTTGGGGTTTGTGCATGTAATAAGTAATACTGGATGACTTGATTTATCTTGGTGATGGTGAGGAGTTTGTGATCTGTGTAGTTTTAATACTGTAAGTAGTTCTGTAGAAAAGAGAGATGATTGTTTTATTTGGCTTAAAAATAATGAAGTGTTCTTCATCACCAGTGCTTTAAGTGTTGTAGTTTTGTTGTTTAGTGTTTTCATGGCCTCACTGAGACTTCTTTTTGGGTGAAGCTCACATTTCCAGCTCCACATGCTTTGAACCAGGAGAGGCTGGAGCCCATTGCTACTTGCTGGTTCAGTTCCACAGGGCAGGACAATGCCTCATGTTTGTTTTGAGTCAGTATAATGAAACCTGAAATGTCCTGCTCCCTTATGGCTCTGAGATGCTGTGACTGTGCCTGCGCAAGTCAGCTTTGGTGGTGGTGATGCTGTGACACCGAACAGCACATGATGCTGCAGCCATAAGGAAGTGTTACCTTCCTTGAGCTGACAAACCTGGCTATAAGAAAAAAAAAAAAGAAACTGGGTTTTGAGTGCCTGTAAGAAGCTGCCCCGGTTTCCAAATCCTGTGCTTTCAGAGTCTGAGTATGTTTTTTCATCTGTTAAATGGTGTGGTTACAAGAAATATGTTTCTCGGATGTGATGTCAGCTGGTGAGTGGCTGCGGTTACTGTCTTTTTCCCCCTCACTTCAGATGCATTGCTCCAACCTGAATTTTTCTTGTATCTCATTTCCACAAGGTTTTGTGTTTTCTAGCGTTTTACAGGACCTTTGTGCCTCATCTCTATTTCTTTCTTTCAGGTTTCCCTTGCTGTTCCCTGTTGCTGCACTTTGGTTTTGCTCTCATTTCTTTCCTCTTGTCATACAGGCAGCAACACGCGAAAGGAGCAGGGTGGGTTAGTTGCAGTAGTACAGAACGTGCCATTGTCTCACTGGGTGCACCCCACCTCCCCATCCAGAGCACATCATCTGCTCTCACATCTAACACCCCACACTGCCAGAGGGT